ATGACGCTTACTTATGATATATTTTCTGGGTTTGGACTCATTTTCAAAGCGTTCCTCAAAAGGTTATTGACTTCGATTTCGATATTACATTCATACATCTATATATTGTCTCTGGTATTAATGTGTTGCATGAATGCTTAGTATATAGGAGGTTTCAAAAAAGTCGGATTGTAATTTCAAGGGCAGTACTAAAAATTTAAAGAATAAATCTGACATAAAAGCTATATATCGTCAGTTTCTCTATAACTGCATTTATATTAATATAAATACTAATTTTTTTTCGAATCTGACGCATCTTATGACGAAAAGAAACTATTTATAAGTTACAAGGGGTCAAACAGTAATGAAGAAATAATAATAAAAATTTTAATTAATTTATTGATTATGATTAGCCAAATTTTAATAAATTAATTAAAATATTTGTTGTTGTTTCTTCACTAATGTTCGAACCTTTCTATATACTAATATACTTTGGTATTGAAGTAAAAAATTTTTTAGATTAAAACATTTATAGTAATTATAAAAATGTATTTTTCAATTATGAAATTTTTTTGAGCTACATAAACTCAAATTTAAAAAGTAATAACAAATTGTAGTATTTATATTAAAAACCCTATTCCATACACATATAAACATATATATACTTATATTGTATACATTTTTAATAAGTTCCGAATAGATTTATGAATCTAGTACTTTAGTTGAAATGACGCAGTAATTTAGAACTAATTCAGCGTAAGTCAATAAATTATTTAATGATTCCATGCTATTTATTTTGATGTTAATTGCTATTTTTGACTTAATTAAAAGGTCAACATAGCGCTCTTTGTTCACATTGGTATTAATTAACATTAACTTGTTTTAATCTAAGATTTTTACAAAAAAGTTTTGTTTTTTCTTAGAAAATTTCGGGTACAATTTGTAAAAAAAAATTATTTTTTCTTTGAAAAATCTTAAATTAAATCGTCTTATGTAGTGCTATTTTTAAAATCTGTGGTTAAAAATTTTTAAAGAGATATTAAATTCATTGCTCAATAAAAAAAATCTTTTAATAAGCATAAAAATAATTAAACTTTTTTGACGTTTTTTACTTAATTTAAAACTTAATTTTTTTATGCTTTATTGTAAAATTAGTTATTACTATTTATTCTATATTCTCATAAAATTTTTTTTTTTATTGAAACGTCCTTCTATAAGCTAGCTGTTTCCGATTATAACTCCTGGTACCATGAGGAATGAATGGCTTTATTCATACTCATGTGGTTTGTAGCCTTTGTTCCTTAGAGTTCTGGCTTAGCTTACCGTCAATAGGTATATCTACCACACATCTAAGAAAGATACTGGTATATATACAATTATATATATACCTATAAGCAGTAAACTAACTTTAGAATTTTTTGTTTTCTTTAAGAATGTTAATAGTTTCTCTTTTAGCTTTAAGTTTTCCATAACAACCGAAGTATACTTGTCAAAAAAATTTATGATAAAAAAAATTTTGATCAAACAACCCTCTATATTTGAGAAATAACTTATCCAAATATCTTAAACTAAATGTCAGTTTTAAGTTCATTAAATATTCTTAATCGATTATTTTAAATATGTATAATATAATCTATACTATACGTACAATACTAGCATAAAACGTTCGGAAGGTATTTCGTTCTACACCACCTTTTCCGTTTTTTGCACCAAGGAATAGTCTTCGGAATTTACGTGACTTTTATAATCTGTCTATGTATAATCTATCAATAATATATATAATCTATCATATATATCTATTATAATCTATCAATGGAGTATATTCATTATAGTTTCGTTTTGGTTTTAAAGATTTTGTACTCTGCAAAAATTATGTTTTACATACTTTTGTTCATATTCAATATATTTCTTTTATGGAATAGAAAATGAAGGGGGTACTGGGTATTAGAGAGCGGAATACTGCAAACACGATTGATCTCTTGTGTTATTTACCGAATCTAACTGAATAGTAGACACTCCACCTTTCAAGTGATAGCCAAAAAATCAGCGGTTAAAGATATCCTAACTTCAAACGAGGATATGAGGCTAAGATGAGAGCTCTTGTCCTGGTTTAATTCAATGCCGGACAGTTACAGAGAATGCGACTAGAGATTTCGTTCGCTTTCAAACAGAAGCGATATTCTGACACTTCAGACAGACCCATCTTATTAATACGATACCGTTGGTTGTGATGTGCTGTCAGTCAATCTGCCAATAACCTTAGTTCCGTTCTACTGAGGAAGGGCACCCTGACGTAGTTTAACGAGTGCATCAGCCTGACGATTACCGGAAATGTCACGCTAGTAGTAACTTCTCTCAGTTACAAATCATATTTTATCAAAAAAATTTAATTTTGCTTTTTAAATATAGGTGAAATATATCCCGGCTTTTAAATATACAGACTTTATTATATTGGAAATTCGTCTGTTAAGACTTTTTTTTACAGCATTCCAAAAAAACTGTTAGAATAAAGTTTTGAATGATTTAATCATTTAAAAATTTTTGTATCAAATCTGAACTTTACATAATTAACAGAAACTACAAAATTATATTAAGGCAATCATAAATTTAATATAACTTATCTTTGAAACACTCCGATTTAAGCAGTTTGTGGATTTTTACATATTTCAAAGTCATTAAGGAAGTGGGAACTTAATGTTAATTTAGTAATTCGAGTTTGATAAATGAATTCTGAATAACTCAGCGGTTATCAGCTTTGCTTGAGAGAAAAGTACTTTAGTAGCAGTTGACTTCTTATATTTAATTTCTCATCCATTAACTTATTTTACATTATATTTAATTAGTAGTATAATGATTCAAACAAAGAATTTAATAGATTACAAATAAGTTACAAGGTTTTGTAGTGACTTTGTGTTTTCTTCAACTATAGCCACAATCACTATAATCTGAGCGGAGCATAAGTATGACCTCACCTAACTTATGCATTGAATTTGTCACCGTGATGAAAAAAATTTAAAATTTTGTGATTAAAAATGCATTGTGAGAAATCATTTTTGTTGCTGTGATGCTGTTGTTCTTTCAAGAGACGTTACTCATTGTTGAGTAAGTCTATTTGGTATGCATTCTGATAGCAGTTGTGAATAATCAACGATGATATCTAATTCCGATTGTTAGGAAATAAGCCCAGTACTTTCATGCGATTGAATCGAATGATGTCCAGGATCTAGAATCAGGTTTAAATTAACCTGGACTACCCTCAAAACCTTAATAACCTAACTATTTTCAAGGGTAATAACCTAAATACCCTTGAAAATAGTAAGGTTATTAAAATTTTAAGAGTAGTTCAGGTTAACTTGTGAAAATTCTCTCCAGGGATAGCGCAACAGATCTTAAACGTTGCATTGTACCATTGTCCCTATTACTAATAATAAAATCGTATTCTTTTGTTCTTACATTTAAAAATATATTGCAATTTTTTTTTTAGAATTATATAAACATTTTGGTTTCAAAAGTGTATATATTTTTTCAATCATTTCTGACTTCTTGTATATTCATTTTCTAACTTTTATTTAATAAATGAAATATATTTCATCTAGAGAATTTCAAGAAAAAATAATTCTAAGACTACTGATGATAAGTATTTTCCAATACCTAAAACAAGTGTATGGTTAGCCAAAAATTCAATTAGTTATAATAATAATAAAAAAAATTTTGTTGTTGTAGTTCACTACTGTTCGACACTTCTCCATTAATTACAATGCTTTCTTCACTTTAAAATGCAATTTAATAAATCATTTATATCAACAAACTATTTCAATTATAGTCCATTTATTTAAAAAAGTATATATATATATATATATTTAACATATTCTTATTTAGACGATTTTTCTACATTGGAAAAAATAATCTGTAATGTTTGTTTGGTGGAAGGCCCAAATGCATATACTCCGAGTCTTCGCAGTCGAAGAAGATGCAGATTATATATTTTAAATAATAATTTTTCTTTAAATGCTTTAGATAAAAGAATGACAGCAAAATTTGTTTTTGTTTGGTCATTATGGCCAGTAGTCAGAAAAGCTATTAAAATATGGTCGTAATGTCGGTATATATCGTTATACCGATGTCGCTATAAAAGTTATAAATTTGGCAAACCAAATTTGACTTCGAGAAACGGTTCTTAAATACGATTAGTTGTTGTTATGGTAATCTGCTGGGATCTAAAAGCAGATTACATGAAAGGATTTGCAAGACGAATACTTGGGTTAAGATGTGCAGGGTTGATGGTAAATGCGATTGGACGTTATATTAGGTGTCGATATCTACTATATTATATGTACGTACTCAATCTATTCGCAAAAAACTTTTTTTACTTTTATCTTGCACCAGTATCACTGCTACTAAATAATTAAATCTTTCATCTCAATATATTTTTTGATCGTCCAAGGTTTATTCTATCCTTACAAAGGTGTACGTTTTTTCATCTCAGCAAAAATAAATTAAAAACTGTTGTGTCGATCTTGTTATTGGTGTGGTACTAGGTGCCCAGCATATGGCAGTCCCGGTATGCTCGTCGATTTAGTGGTGTGGTTCTTGACACGTAATTACCACTCCTGACATCAAACAAGTGGTGCCCAACGTAGAGTTGACAAGGTTGACACAACAAAACCTAGAAAAAGGTCACATTGTAGCTATTTTAATCGTTACGGTTATTTTTAGCTCCCTAAATATTTTATATAGAGATTCACTCTATTTTTCTTATTGAAAAATATAGTAAAATAAAATATTGTAAATAATCTAAAAAATTTAAATTTCTTTATTCTTTTTTTAGTTTTATCAATTAAAAAGAAATATAATATAAAATAAAATATAATAAACTATAAATTTCTAGAAAATGTTTCATATGTTATTTACTTAAATTAACCAACTTAGATATTATTTATCTTTAAATACATATACATAATTGTTTTTTTAAAATTATTTTCTTATTTTATTTGCAGTGTTTAAGTCAAAAAAATCTTCAAGGTAAAACATAATCAGATTTACTCGTGAAGATGACAACAGCATGTCACAAATCCGAAAATCAGCTTCTTTCCGGTCAAGGATACCAGTAAGACGAACACGCCTAACACACCAACGGTGCTGCAGTCCTCATATGCATGACTTCGAAAGCACAACCCAAAGAAACTTGCAGTTGAGAACCAATAGTAGTTTTGCATTCGAGAAGAATTCAGTGGGCAGTAAGCAACATTTTCATATTCACAGCAATAAGAAAAATTGTTCTTGTTGCGTTAACGATCTCGAATATTCCTCCTATTCTAGTAGTGATGAAAGTTATGAATCTGAAGATACTCATGAGGTAAAAAATATTTATAAAAACAAAAAAAATTGTATTTAATGTATTGTTAACATATCTTATTTTTCGTTATTAAAGAAAACAGTAAAACAAAATATAATACATCCGATAGATGATTTTATGTACGTATCAACAGATGCTATATCTCTTGATGGTTTGTTGGATACTGTAAGCTGTGGAAGTAATTTTTCTAATCCGCCTTCTCCAGTTGAATATAAGAGTAAATTAGTTCTTTTATATTTCATTCATCTTATTAATATTATTAACTAAATTTTCTTTTAGATGCGAAAACGCAATTAAATCACAATTTGTCATCATATGAATCCTTAGATAAATTTAAACTTAATGATGATCTAATGAATTTAGATAACTCATTTAAGTTTAATAAAATACAGAAAAAAATAAAAAACAATTCAAGTTAGTATTTTCAAAAATTTCAATTGAGCATGTATTTGAATATATCTACATGACTAATCATAGCCAATAATCACCCTTCACCGATTCTCTTAAATTGCTTTTAATTGGCTTAATAAATTATTTAATTATTGAACCAAGGCAGTCTGATGATTATTATATGTGTAATACTTATAGTTAGAATTGAAAAAAAATATAAAAATATTTTTTTGAAGAAGTGCATATATATGATATATAATTTAGAATCAACAATAGTTCCTTAATTTTTAAATTAGATGCACGTCGGTATATATTAAATAGTATAAATAATTTTTAACACTTTCATAAAAGTCCTGTATCGCCTGTAAATTTTTCTTAATCGTAACAACACTTAAAACCAGAATTTCTCAATACTTGGTCCATGAACTGTTACTGGTTTATATCATTAGCAACACCGCTCCATAACATATAATATTTTCGTTTATGGAGATATTATTTTTTAAAAAGATATGGGGTTTCAAAACATGGAGTTTATTTTATAATTTTTGAGTTATTACGTCGAAAATATTTTAAAGTGGGTTCTAATATTAAGAATTCTCTTGATGAAGGCAAAAGCGAACTTGCCGAAATGCGTATAGAAATATACTAAAAATAATGAACGAAATAAAAGCTCAAATTCTTAAAAACAAAACCGACATTAAATATATTTCTAGTCCGTAGTACGTTTTGTGTTAAAAAACGCTACTTTAGACAACCCTTTACTAACAACTAATATCCTTTATTATAACATGTTTAGTTAAGTTTGATCAAATGACACTATATATATATAACACTATATATATAGCTTTTTCATATTTAGATATAAGATCGTATCTTTGCATAAGTTGAGAAAAAGTTAAGAAAATAATTTCAGATATATTATCGAAGCAGATTATCCTTAATATATAATTCCTTAATATTATTTATTAAAGTAATTAAACCAGCAATCCAGTCAAGGCGTAGAGAAGGGTTCTAAAGAAACCTCGCAGTCAATAGAGAGTAAAAGTGCTTAAGTGTACTGACATAAACCAGCAATGGAACATTTATTTTGGTAATGACTTTAGTTATATGAGTTTACACAATGTAAGAAACTTTATCACTAAAACCACATCTTAGGAATGAATGAAGAAGATTGCCACACACCGCAATGCATATACTTCCTACTAGTAATTAAGAGGGCGAAATTTAGTTAATAGTTTTAATACGAGTACTTAGAGGTTTAGGTTTATCTAAGCAAGCAGGTTTACAAAATTGTCAACTTTGTTCTACTTGTAGGCCCATGCATATGATGTTATAAGTATGCTATGTGTGAAGCAATACAAGGAAAAGAAATCACTAACAAATTCAAATTTATAACCAGATTTATACACAGATTAACTAAACAGAACGTTTACGTAAGGACACTATATTTAATAATATTTTATATATTTTTTATATATATAATAATTTTTTTATAGCTAAAAAATTGGAAAAGGATCATTACTAGTTTAAAATTACAAAATATTTTGTTAAATTAATAGATCAATTATGGTTCCTAATATTTTCATTTTTGAAGTGTTAGAAATTGTCATAATATTCTTTTATGTATTGGTTTTGTAAGCATATTAGGAAGTAAAAGGTATTACCCTTTCAGAGACCAGTAACTACCGCTTTTGTCAAATGAATGTTGAAATTTCTGAACATATTCTCTGTGTATATTGTAATTTAAGTAGGAGCAGCATTTTTACCTATCTGAGGGCCAGACTTATTGCTCCTCTAGAACATATAGAACAATATAAAATTGTTAAAGCTCCTAAAAGCCTAAGGGTACGAAACGGAATAGTAAAACTGCTGGTGTTAACATAACAGACCGTCTATATAGTATTCCTTACTTTAATATTTACTTTAATATATAATAATATATATAATATATAATACAAAGTGGAGTACGGAATTCGCTGATAATTTTATATTTCAATAAATTACAACTGAAACGAAAAATATACAAATTAATTTCAATTTAATATATACAGTTTATATACATACAATGCTCAATTTAGTTGAAATATACATAAAATAGTAACAGTCAAAGTACCAATTAAGAGCTCTATAAAGCAAAAAGAAACGAAGCAATAATTAATTTGTCAACCAATTTCTCAAACAACGAAAGTACCAACGAAGAGCTCCATAAATCAAAAAAAGAAGCAATAGTCAATTTGCCAGCTAACCCTACTAAAAATAAATAGTAAATAAATCACAAAAAATAAAAAGCTAAAGATTAATTTGAAAAAATTATGAATTGAAAAGCTCATTGCTATAGGTATATACTTCCTTTTAAATTTAAATATGTAATTAGTGCCAATAATCACAATAAAAAATTTTAAATTATTTTTGAAAAATAATTTTTTTTTGCATATTTTACATGCTTATTTTGATATTTACAATTGCTATTGTATTTGAACCAAGTTCTAAATACTCATATGAAATGATAAAATACATAATAACCTGCTGAATACGACAATTGTACGAACTTATAAAAACAATAAATAAATTTTAATTTAATTACAATGCTATATTTATACATAGTATAATTTACATAAACAAAATAAACTGGAATATGAAATGTTGTTCTTTGTAGATTCTAACGAAAAACCACAACAGCAGTTCACCCGTCAAACTCATTCGAATGCAACACAATCCGTCATGGCCTCAGAAGAATTGAAGCAGAACTATAACGAAAAGCAGAGACAGTTAAGTGACTGGTATTATATAAAATCTAAAAATGTATCTACGGATGATGTAACGAATGCTCATAAGCCACTTGATAAATCAAATGGCAATAATTTGAGTTCCCCAATTACAAGTAGATGCGAGAATAATCGCATTAGAAGTGCTGGTATCAAATATATGACGCCAGTAACGTCAACCAGCCATGCACAGTCATTACCCAGGTCAAGTAGTGGCAGTGCAACCCCAAGTTCCAGTAAAAAATGGAATAATTTTGATGCATTGCACAGTTACGAAAACGTGCGAATACCAAAAATTGATGATGTGTACAATATACCGCGAGATGCGATTGACCGCAGAGCTGTTGGAAGCACTGCAGGTGTTAATATGCTTGCGAGTGATAAAGGCGATGCAAGGTGCAATGTTAATTCCTCGTTACCGCGTGAATATGTTAATTTGAAATCAAAGCTTAAAACTCCACCGTATCAGTGTCCACCCGACTACAACAATCCTCCAACATATGATATAATTGAGCAACAACAAACGCGCAACGTACTAAAGCAACAGCACATGAACTCGCTCAACATTGAACCAGAAACAGATGCCTTAAGCAAGGTTAATGTAAAATTATTAAAGCAACAATACCAACAGCAGCAACAACACAAAACACCAACCACGACACAAATTTTAAATACACAGACTGAATATGCGAATACACAACCAAGTAGTGGACGGCGCGGGGCGGATTGCAGCAATAAGTACAACAACAACATCGTTGAATTGCAATTACGGCATTGGGAAAATATAAGTAGTAATGGTGTAAATAACCAAAATAGAATGCTTGACAATCTGACATTGTTGTCCTGTCATGAGCAGCAGCAACAAAGACAACAATTACAGCAACAGCAGGACCAACAGCAGCAGCAACAACTACACTCACGGTTTCGAAATAATTCTAACAATTGCGGTGATGGCGCAGTTGTGAACAAGTACAATAGCAACGATTATATAGAGCTAAAACAACAACCAAATTGTAATGAGTTAAATGTATATCGCACACAGCAAAATCAAGC